ATGTATAGATGCTCCGGGCTCGTGCAAATACCGCATATGACCCCAGGTTCAACACTCATCATAGAATTCCATATCCGTGAACTTTCTATTAGTAAAGAACAACAACTTTTACACGGGGTGACAGTACACTGGAGTACCCAGAACAATAACCGACGTTACCGTATCATCATACAAACGGACTCAACAGGTTCTATAACCCACTCAATAAACCCCCCCTACTATGGGGTTCGTGTGGATACAGAGTTACCTATTCACTTCCGAACTATTTTCCTAAACAGTGATTTATACCTTATAAGCTTCAAGTTAGTTGATCAACTATTAACTGAAACTCAATTAAAATATCTTTTGTAATATATATTATAGGATGGGATTGTATCCAGGCATAGATGAAGTAGCGAAGACCCTGGAAACCGTAGACGGGTTCCGCTTGAGACAATTATGTGATGTAAGACGCCAACTAGAACAAGACCGCGACAAGCGTAAAGCATTATATAAGAAATACCATAGAGTTTTCAATGCCGTGGACGGGGCTGACACTGCCCTTATGACAACCAGCATGGGTCTAGGGGTGGCAGGTGTTGGGTTATTAACCACCATCGTGGCTGTACCTATAGTGATGGGACTCGAAATAACGGCTGGAGTGACAGGAGTGTTAGGGTTGATACTTAAATACACATCACGCAGACTGCATCGTAAGGCATTGAAGCATGATGAAATTAGAATTCTAGCTGAAGCAAAGCTGAACACAGTAAGCGACCGTATTTCAGCGGCACTCACTGACAACAAAATCTCAGAGGAGGAGTTTCGTTTGATCCTATCCGAACTCGACAAGTACTGTAAGATGAAACAAGAAATCCGGTCCAAGTCTCGTAAGTCTGCTGCTATCAGTGAGGACGAGAAAAAAAAAAGTACATAGAACAAGGGGTGAAAAAGGCCCAACAAGCCTTTATTACCAACACCAAAGAGATCCTAGGCGATTCACATTAAACTGTTTCGTTGAGGTCAATGTGACATAGTGTCATAGATAAAGTTGACATCAAAGCCGGAGAGCCTAACTTATACTACTTGATGGATGGGCCAGGGAGGGGGTTTGTAAGAGAAGAATTATTGATTGTACCGTATGGCACAATGCTACCTCCTACCAACACGACATAGATCAAATAAACACTTTCATAGCTTGATCCAACTAAAGCATTATTTAGGAAATGAGGCTTTCTGTATAGGTAATAACAGTAAAAATAAGGTATCCGACTAAAGCTTTATCTATGTAATGAAGCTTTAGCTACCTTGATCCAAAAGCCTCACTCTGTCTACTACTCCCTCAGCCACCACAGCTTCCACAAAACTGCTCAGGATTCAAAAGAATCAAAGCTGTATTTGCTGTATTGAGCACTCCTGACCAACTTTTAGATCATTTGGCAAATAATACTATCAATGGGCACCTCGGGGCTCTTGACAAGTGGTGCTGATGAAATGTTGTGAATATAATATGCTTCCTTCCACACAGCTCTAATTTATAAATTTATCAGATCTACATTATGCATTATCTCTTCTATTTCAGACAGTTGAAAGTTTCCACTTCTCTGAACTGTTTGCCTGAACATATCCCTGCTAACATCACTGGAAGATAATGCTGAGCATGTGACCTGCCCAGGATGATAATGTCTTAACTTGAGCCGTATTCTCCCGAAATCTGTGTAGCAGGGTTGGTAGTGTGTGAATCTATTGTGTGAGATAGGATGAGTATCATAGATATACAATTTAAACTTGTATCTTTTATTCCTATCCTATATCACAGTATGCACTTATGGTAGGACACAGGTTACCCTTGAGAGTTGAGGGACAGTACCTAAGCTTTAAACTGATGGAGTCCATGGATGTCAGATACGGACAGGTCACGTACATAATGGGAGGCAAAGACTGCCTCAAGTCTCCAAAAATACCCCTCCAGAAATGATGTCAAAGAAATGCTGTGGAGAGGCATGGTTGAGGCTACCACTTGTGTTTCACGAGGATTGGACACACCTGGAAGAGTTAGACCAGCAAAGGGTGGCCGATCTCATCCAGAAAGAGATGGTGGTTTGAGAAACTTGCAGTGTACAGGCTGTAAAGAGTGGGATGAACAGGTACTTCAACACACCTGCAATGGTCCTGTGAAACAGCAACTGACAATGCAGTGTATGAAATAAGGCCCATCCGACCGCCCGAGATGGGCTAGATTTCTGACGGACGGTCTAAATTTACAGCTAGCCAGGACGATGGTCTGCTAAAAAATTTAGATGTTCCATACATCTGAGTAAATTCACCATATCTTGGTGTCTGGTCGGGTTAAATCCATTTCGGGCTGGTAACATTTTGAAGTTACCAGCCCTGATGTCTGGCTGGGTTTTTGACTTATTTCATACACTGGACAATGGTGGAATAGTTAATAGTCTATCCGTCTGTCCTGGCAACTGGCTTTTGGCAAGAAGTCCGAGCTGTGTTTCTTCCTCACAAACTGTACATGGTTTACATCCAGCACTTTCAGTTCCCAAAAATAAGCAGCAGTAGTAAACGCTACCAGGAAAACTGTTTTGTGATGAGGTGTCTCAGTTTCTTGAGTTTCCTTGGAAACATGCAGATACTCAGCAACCGTCCATGCTTTCAGAGATGTGATAACCTGCACCTTACAGTGATCCTTGAAGCTCATCCCCTTATTAAATGGAGTAAGTCGAAGAGGGTCAGCTGACACGATCGCCTGAGCAGCTTTGTAAATGTGCCAACATGAAGATTTAATGCCAGCAGCGACCTGTGACGTAGATCAGAGTGAGGGTTGTCATCTCAAACAGGTAAAGCAAGAGGGTTCTGATAGGTGTGACAGATCAATGAACATACTTCGAGCTGGTCAGAATGGTGTGACCAAAAGCAGAAGAATCTTCTTGGTGGAGATCTTGTAATGGAGTCTCCACTCAGTTGATGATGAAGGGCAGTCTGGAAGAGACAGGGCATCTGCGATGATATTCTGGGCTCAAAAACTGTTTCAGGCTCTAACACTGATGTGAAGAAAGAGTAGTGATCCTGTTGAACCCACACAAATGATGTACCACACCACCTCTGAGTTGTCCAATTGAATCATGAGGTTGGTTGAGCACAGATCGTTGGACCAATGGGACACCGTTAGAATGACAGCTTCAAACTCCCAAGTTGTTGACATGATGGAATTGATAGGCGAACAACCCTGCTGATGATACTGTTGTTGACTTCTGCAATAGTGTAACAAAGATCGTCCGAAGAACTAACATCTGTGTCTGGGGGTACATTCGGTACAGTCTGTGTGGAGGATTGAAGGTCAAGGGTGGGGACCCGACAGCCAATACCCTTGCACCAAAGTGGTAGTTTAGTAGCAGTCCAGTAGGATTCAATTGTGGGCGAAGAAGGTTCCAAGTCTTTTGCCTACGGGTGAATTGATTGGAGTGAAAAGGTCCTTCAGTAATTGTCTAGAGTAGTGCACTGGTTTGGCTGACTCCTTCACTGATCTGCTGAAGGATATTGTCATGGAAGTGCTGGAGGACGTTTTTGACTTTGACAACCTTAATGAAAACCCCTCTGTCACTAATCGTAGAAATCGAAGAAATGGCTGATCGATAAGATTGAAGGATTACCATGGTAAAGAGGGGCAAGGCTTGAGGACAGTATGGCTTGGTTGAGGGCTCGAAAGCAGACTTCGCTGAGTGGAGGGATCATCTTCTGTAGTAGGAGGTGAGGCAGGGGAAACCCATGATTGAGGGCGTGAACAAGTCAGAACTGCAGATGTAACTGTTGACAGCTGAGGGATCTCCAATCATGGAGGGACCAATGATAAAGGAAGGATCACCAAATCTGCAAGGACTGGAAGGGCAGACAATTCGGGATGGATCAACAATCCTGAGACATGGAAGAACTGATATAATATAACAGTGAACCATGAGGGATTGCTGACCGTCTAACCATTCACTCTAGATTGTAACATCAGAACTGGGTTCAGAGGCTTGACAGATTCTTTGGAAGGTTGGAAAAGACACCAATTGTTCTTGCTGAGGTAGGAATCGGAAGCAGCATCAGGAAAATCTTCTTCTGTTGGGATAAGCTGTCTACACCATTAATAGACTTTCTTTGAGGAAAAGTTTTGATTTCTTAGGATCAAATTCTTCTGACTCGTGTTTGCAGCTCTTGTCTTTAGCTCTTCTGGATCCATCTGTTCTAGCAATGGAGCATTGGTCACCATCCAAATGTTCACACACTGGACAATGACATTCAAGCTACAGATGATGAATGAGGATCAAAGGTTGAATTACATCTTTACAGGAAGCCAAATCATCCTTCCCCATTTCAGATGACAATCCTCTTTTTACATTCCTCAAAGGATAAGATTAAGCCAAGCCCCCAGATATAAGACATCTGCTTTCAGGGAGACTGGAAACTATGTTTCATGTTGTTTCCACTCCATTGTTGAAAGTAGAGAAAAGAGTAAATTTATCATAAATGTTAGATCGGATAAATTTAAAAATTAGAGCTGTGTGGAAGGAAGAATATTATATACACATTTCCACAGCAAAACTTGTCAAAAGCCCCAAACTGATTTGTCAATTTTTAATGCACTTAATATAGTAAATTCTAATAATTGAAGTCATGTTTGTTGATCGATGTGATGGCAACCTGTTAATACTGTACCAGACAATGCAGTGATCTATATGATGAATAATGATCTTATAATGTATTTGGGATAGAATGAGGATAAGATACAAGCACTATCAAATGTCAGGATTCCAAAATATTCCTGGAAAAAGATTTTCACAACATCATTGAGGACAAAGAGGACTTAAATCTTGACATGACTAGTACACACATCATATTTGGTATGCCAGTGGTCCAACTTGAACAAAATCTCAAAGCATCCCCATTAACACAATCATGATTATTAGATTGAAATAAGGATGTTTGTATGTAAGCAATGAATGCCTAACTGTAAATCATATCATTACCTGTTCAAGGTCAAAGGTTTGTTTCGATGTTGGAGTTGAAGTGCTCTGAAACAAAAGACAAGGACATAGAGCAATACATAGTACAATGTGTGTTTCAAATCTAAATCTTTTGGAGCCCAAGAGAGATACCATCATTTGATCACCTAGAGGATATCTATATCCTGATATAGAAACTATGCTGGGAACCTGAGAAGGAAAACCATACATTATGGAGGTATTGCTGATGTCTCTCATCCTCAGTCTTTTATATGACAAAATAATGACGAAATGGAATTGCCACCAGAACTCACATCTTAACCTGTGTACATATTCATCAGCTTGAAATGTCAACCTCCTTAGGGAGATGTCAGCACGAATATCTTATGAACGGTATTAAGTATCTGCAAGAGATTCAGATTAACTTCGTTCAAAAGGTGGTTAACAAATGATGATAGCCTCAGAAGTGTACATACCTCCCTCATGAGTGTGGCACTGGAGGAAGTGGAGGTTGAGGTTGAGGAGGAGGAGGCTGAGGATCCGGCACCGGACTGAGACAAGCGAACCTGCAGTATTTGATTGTCCTCAAACTCTAGCTGATGAAGGAGCTTTTGGTCTTTGGCCACACCAAGCTGTAAAATACACACTGTCCAATAAAACATTCATTCCACAGTTCTAGCTGCAGGTGTCAGAAACACGCAAGAGACACACATGTAGTTGACAGATACAGGCCACTGATCTACATGTAGTTGACAAGATACAGGCCACTGATCTACATGTAGTTGGCAGATACAGGCCACTGATCTACATGTAGTTGACAGATACAGGCCACTGATCTATATGTAGTTGACAGATACAGACCACTGATCTACATGTAGTTGGCAGATACAGGCCACTGATCTACATGTAGTTGACAGATACAGACCACTGATCTACATGTAGTTGGCAGATACAGGCCACTGATCTACATGTAGTTGACAGATACAGGCTACTGATCTACATGTAGTTGACAGATACAGGCCACTGATCTACATGTAGTTGACAGATACAGGCCACTGATCTACATGTAGTTGACAGATACAGGCCACTGATCTACATGTAGTTGACAGATACAGGCCACTGATCTACATGTAGTTGGCAGATACAGGCTACTGATCTACATGTAGTTGGCAGATACAGGCTACTGATCTACATGTAGTTGACAGATACAGACCACTGATCTACATGTAGTTGACAGATACAGGCCACTGATCTACATGTAGTTGACAGATACAGGCCACTGATCTACATGTAGTTGACAGATACAGGCCACTGATCTACATGTAGTTGACAGATACAGGCCACTGATCTACATGTAGTTGGCAGATACAGACCACTGATCTACATGTAGTTGGCAGATACAGGCCACTGATCTACATGTAGTTGACAGATACAGGCCACTGATCTACATGTAGTTGGCAGATACAGGCTACTGATCTACATGTAGTTGGCAGATACACTGGCTACTGATCTACATGTAGTCTGACAGATACAGGCCACTGATCTACATGTAGTTGACAGATACAGACCACTGATCTACATGTAGTTGACAGATACAGGCCACTGATCTACATGTAGTTGACAGATACAGGCCACTGATCTACATGTAGTTGACAGATACAGACCACTGATCTACATGTAGTTGACAGATACAGGCCACTGATCTACATGTAGTTGACAGATACAGACCACTGATCTACATGTAGTTGACAGATACAGGCCACTGATCTACATGTAGTTGGCAGATACAGGCTACTGATCTACATGTAGTTGACAGATACAGACCACTGATCTACATGTAGTTGACAGATACAGGCCACTGATCTACATGTAGTTGACAGATACAGACCACTGATCTACATGTAGTTGACAGATACAGGCCACTGATCTACATGTAGTTGGCAGATACAGGCCACTGATCTACATGTAGTTGACAGATACAGGCCACTGATCTACATGTAGTTGACAGATACAGGCCACTGATCTACATGTAGTTGACAGATACAGACCACTGATCTACATGTAGTTGGCAGATACAGGCCACTGATCTACATGTAGTTGACAGATACAGGCCACTGATCTACATGTAGTTGACAGATACAGACCACTGATCTACATGTAGTTGACAGATACAGGCCACTGATCTACATGTAGTTGGCAGATACAGGCCACTGATCTACATGTAGTTGACAGATACAGGCCACTGATCTACATGTAGTTGACAGATACAGGCCACTGATCTACATGTAGTTGACAGATACAGACCACTGATCTACATGTAGTTGGCAGATACAGGCCACTGATCTACATGTAGTTGACAGATACAGGCTACTGATCTACATGTAGTTGACAGATACAGGCCACTGATCTACATGTAGTTGACAGATACAGGCCACTGATCTACATGTAGTTGACAGATACAGGCCACTGATCTACATGTAGTTGGCAGATACAGGCCACTGATCTACATGTAGTTGACAGATACAGGCTACTGATCTACATGTAGTTGACAGATACAGGCCACTGATCTACATGTAGTTGACAGATAAAGGCCACTGATCTACATGTAGTTGACAGATACAGGCTACTGATCTACATGTAGTTGACAGATACAGACCATTGATCTACATGTAGTTGACAGATACAGGCTACTGATCTACATGTAGTTGACAGACTGATCATACAGATAGGCCACTGATCTACATGTAGTTGACAGATACAGGCTACTGATCTACATGTAGTTGACAGATAAAGGCCACTGATCTACATGTAGTTGAGATTATACAGGCTACTGATCTACATGTAGTTGACACTGATACATGTAGTTGACAGATACAGGCTACTGATCTACATGTAGTTGACAGATACAGACCACTGATCTACATGTAGTTGACAGATACAGGCTACTGATCTACATGTAGTTGACAGATACAGGCCACTGATCTACATGTAGTTGACAGATACAGGCTACTGATCTACATGTAGTTGACACATACAGGCCACTGATCTACATGTAGTTGACAGATACAGGCCACTGATCTACATGGAGGTGGCAGACACAGGCTCCTCATAAAAATGGACTACATTAACAAGTATACTAACCGGTTTGTCATTGGCTACAATTTGGACATGATCAACTTGTTGTAGGAGTGATTCTGCAACCTTGATCCTGACTGATCCAAGGCTCTCATTACTGTGACACTGAGAATAGAAAGAACAGAAATACATTAGTATCACCAAACAGATGCTTTCTCTTTCTGTAGCAAATGGTTGGCAGCTAAATTCAACAAAAAGATGTTAGCCATTATACTTACATGAATAAACAATTTCCTTGAAATCAGGTCTTATTGCTCACTACCACAGCAGGTTACATCTGAACAACCTTACGCAAACTTGGATTGATGAAATAACTAACACAAAGAAACTTTCCTATTCACAAATATTTTGAGAAAGTTCTTGATACATTATACACAAAAAAGTGAACAAAAGAAAATTTTGGAATATCTGACAGATGGTCAAGATTGGTTTGTTGTTTAACGTTGCACTCTGCATTATTTCAGCTATACAGGGACAGCCTGTAAATAATCAAGTCTGGACCAGACAATCCAGTGATCAACAGCATGAGCATCGATCTACACAATTGGGAGATGATAATTTGTGGCAACAAAATCAGCAAGTCTGATCACCCGATCCCGTTGTATGGCAACTTCCAATGGGATATGAAAAGTTTCCTCCATTTCAAACGTTTATTATTATTATTTTTTTATTATTAGGATTTATTAGGATACTTATACAGTACACATTACAGGCAACTCGTGCATGCTAAAGGCGCTGATATTTTTCCCACGATCATTGGATGTCAATCTCAGTGGCACATCCCTGAGGAGTATACAACTCTTGCAGCCACTAGGCGCACCGAGTTATTGTGGCTTTCTCATCCTAACGAGGTACCCATTCACAGCTGGGTGGACTGGGACACATAGTCACAGTACTTAGTCCAAGTTCACTGCACATTGCAGAACCCGCAACTAGGTGTTTGCACGTATTCATGTGGCCACCATCTGGTCATATACCAACGGATTCATGGGTTCTTTAAAAGTGCACAGGGTTGTGTACTGTACACTAGGGGTTGTGACAACACTGAAAGAGTCTGCACACAAAGTTGACTCCAAGATTTTTACACCCGGTTACAGGTGGGCGCGATCCCGACACCTCAACCTTGCTGGATCACTAGCCTGGCGCCTTAGCCAGCTCGCCCACCGCGTTTATCCCACTGAAGCAAGGGAAGATTTACGAGAAGATTGTTATTTCCACACCATCAGTCTTTCTGATGGCAGGCCAAGAACAAAAACAGACAAATCAATGGTTAGCGGCTAACAAGGGTTGATATTGAAAATGTTTAATTCAACATTTTCGAGGTTGCATGATTACAGAGCACATTCTGGCTTTCACTGTCACATTTTCATGAAAAAAATCTAACTGGTTGGATGAAAAGTCATTCAAATGTGACCTGTAGTAGAACATCATCAGATCACTGTGTTGCAGAAACCACTGCATGCAACAGTCTCAAAGATATAGAAGTGGTATGCGTTTCGTATGCTGTTCAGTATATTTTTTAACAAAAACACATGTAATATAATCACTGAACTCAGCAATATTCCAGCTACATAACAGCGCTAATTAACTGTTAAGTCCTGGCTTCCATTTGTCTTTTGCCAATCACCTATCATCGCCAGTTAACTGTTGGCTTCCCTTGTTAAGCCCCAACTTCTGTAGTCTTATTACTTGTGTTGAAACTCTCTTCCTTACATGACAGTGGTTTGTAAATAATCAGTGCAGGAGGTCCCCATCCATCTAGGGACACAATGGCAGGCATCAACCACATCAGACAGCCGGACCCCCCGATCCCATTGGTTTGCCTCTTATGACTAGTATGAGTTGCTGAACATCAATTCTAACCCAGATCTTCATGAGCATAAGGCTCCTAGGTAAAAATTCTAAGGCTGTAACATGCACTCTGTTGTGAGAACATATCCAAATTAAGTAAAAGCTGCATACAGAAAGCCATGTATTTAATGGACTCATCTTTATTAGCAACATTCACACTATATGACAAAAGTTTGCAAATTACTGTATAAAAAAGGCAAGCCAGTGGTTGATATTGACAGCAACATTTCATACCATTGTACTGTCTCACACATGAATTTCTCCATGACGTCCAAAATGACAATGCCAGGTTTGCCAAGAACGAATGAAAAACTGGCTAAAAACTCATTTGACTGTCAGTCAGGTAAAACAGTAGTCTTAGTGTGTCTTGTTATTACACAATGTGGTAGGTATTAGATAGTGGTCTGGGGGTGATGAATATGTGGCAGTGGTCAATAGTGATAACGGAAGAATGAATGCTAACATTCTAAAATGTGAAGGAAGTGTGTACATACTACTGTAGTGAACTCCTGCTTGAGGGCCTCACAGGTTATCAAGAGGTTCATCTGGTAGCCATGGAAGGATGCTCCATGTGGTAGAATACTGCGGGGTGCACAATGAAGTTCCTCCACAGACAACACATAAGCTTCTGCTATCCACAGCAGTCTTTCAATAGCCAGCAGCTTCACAGACCTGAAGGACAAAATACAAACACAAGCTGTTTAATTAAGCCTGCCTTTAACATATCTTCCTAGACCAAATTTGATTCAAATTCTGTCTTCTCAAATAGTTATTGATTTCTTGGTTCACTTCGATACAGTTAATAACTGACGGTGTAACCAATTTAGACAACTTAAAAAGAAATAAAATCGACCACCAATATTATCAGAAAATGATTTAGACACAGTAAGCACTAGTATCTGAACTTCATTGTCTAACATACATACCAAAGTCTCCAGGATTTGCAAATACATAAATCTAAACCCCTAAAAGCAATTAGCACAAGTTCCATTTTCATCAAATCTGTGTAAACTATCATGAAAGAAAACAGGTGCCAAAATTCCAAACAGTGGTGTGTGTTTTATACACAGATGTGAGTGAAAAAGGATACTGATGTTCTGATTTTTTAGTGACATGTAAAAACTGTAAAGTAAAGACTGTCACGTTAAGACTGTCACATAATGACTGTCATCTTCTTTGAGAGGCATTTTAGAAGTTGGATAGATGAAGGAAAACCAAGTTGTATGGATAGTCAACTTCTTTATTGCATTGGGTGTGACGTTTCGGTGTAGGTACTAACACCGTTATCAAGCAAGTGATACATAGAGAATATACACATGGAGAATATATACATAGCTGCAAGGTTGATATACATTGGATTGCTAATTAGTGATTTGAGCAGGGTAGGTTGATGTACAGAGTGGTAATGATTCAAACAATATGCAGAATGAGTTTATACAACATATGAGTTGATGTACACTGACATGGTAATGTGTGTTGGAGAGAGTAGGTTGATGTACACATTGATTGGTTGTGATTACAATACACAAAAGGGGGGCATAGAGGCCAGTTGGACAAGGTATGGGTGGATTACTGGTGATGTTTAATTAGGTGGTGATAGGCTGAAGAGATAAAATAACCTTGATCCCGGTTCATGGTGGGCTTGAAGCGTTGGATTTTTATGGCTTCAAGAAGTCTCCTAATCTTGCAGTCTGATTGGTTGGTTTCCAGGATGTGGATGTTGTCCCAAAGGATGGCATGGTCAGGGTTGGCTTGGGTGTGGTCGGCTATGGTGGATTTGGAGTCTTTTTTCTGGACTGAAGTTTTGTGTTCTTTAATGCGTAGTGGGAGAGGGCGCGATGTTTCACCTATGTAAGAGTCTCCACATTGGCAATTGATCTGGTATACTGATCCTGTGGGGTCTTCTTTAGTTGTTGATGGGGGTTTGCCTGTGGCTCGGAGGAGGTATTGGATGGACTTGCCTTTCTGGAACAGAACGTCTATACCTGCTTGCTGCTGAAGTAGTCGTCTTATCTGGTGGCTGACTGCTGGGATATACGGGATACTTTTTGCAAAGGATTGCTGATTTATCTTTTGGGTTGAGGGTGGATCTGATGACGTTGTTAACTAACTTCAGGGGATACTGGTTATAATGAATGAAGACATGGTGGAGGTGGTTTAGTTTGATTTCTAGGGCTTGTGTTGTCAAGCAGATGTTCTTGGCTCTTCGGGAAAGGGTGGAAATGATTTCTTTCTTAAAGGTCACATGCAACGTAAAATACAACTTTGCAGATTCTGATACCTTTCGGTATGGACTTCCCGAAACAAATCATCAAAAATGCAAATTCAACTTATAAAGTTGAAACATAACGCAATGAAAAACCCCGCGCGAAATCGGAGTTCAAACGATTCACTAATTTTCCCCCAGCGCTTGGGGGAAGAGTGGTTTCAATAGCTGGGCTCCGCTGCGCTGGGCTGGGCTGCATTCATAGTACATGCGCAGTGAAATAGGTTCGCACAGGTTGGAAGAGGGTTGTCCGGTGAATACTCGGTGAAGGCTTTGGTGTAAGCTATTTTTCTAATGTTTTGTTGATATTTCACAGGTGCAAGCTTTTTATATGTTATGACAGTAGATTACCGATTTAACTGTTTATATAATTTCATTTGTCTATTTCACCACACGTTCTTCTTACCGAGTCACTTTCTCAGTTCGATACTTAAAAGCAATGACATTATTTAGCGTTGACAGAATTTCTAACTGTGATATAGATATGCCGTTGTCACAGACAAAACTCAATGTCTGTTTTATTGACATCTATGTGTCTACCTGCCTGTCTGCTAATGACAATATTCAATACACAACTTTGATCACTGACCACATGCAATTTGAACTTAACACCTATCAGGCTATACACCATAAACAAAACGCATTGATTTATATCCCTAGTTTGGTCTCTGTCACATTATGTAATTACACAGACAGGCAGGTGTGATACTTGTACACATGACATGTTATAATCTCTGTTGATTGCAAAATGTTATACACAAAAAAATGCGCATTCTATATATAGGGATGTGAATGATATATAATGAGCCGTGAGGGCATCTGCAATGAACCAGCCGTTACACTTGCGTGCTCACCCACCCGCTCTGACTGGGTTCGGTATCCTGGCTGCTTCGTTTCTAGGGAAGTAAATCCAAGTACAAAATATTGCACTTTTGATTTGCGATTGTACGCTTATAATTTTGTTTATTTGTTTTTCATAATCAGCAATGTATATTATATGTCATGAATAAGTGATAATTGTGTTTTAATTATGTTTGATTTTTGGTTGCATGTGACCTTTAACCTGCAGAGGGTGATTGGAGGTGAAGTGGAGATATTGGTCGGTATGAGTGGGTTTCCTGTAGACAGAGAGCTTGTTTTCTTGTTTCTGTACCATGACGTCGAGGAAAGGGAGTTTGTTATCAGATTCTTCTTCCATTGTGAACTGCATACAGGGATGTTGAGAATTGAGGTGGTTGAGGAGGAGTTCAGGGTCGTCATGGGCGATGAGGACTACAAAGGTGTCATCTACTTTCCTGTACCAGAATATTGGAGCGATGGGGGATGTCAGCAGGGCCTTATCTTCAAGTTCCGTCATGTATATCTCAGTGATGATAGGGGAGAGAGGAGAACCCATGGGTAGCCCATGGGTTTGCTGGAAGATCTTGTCTGACCAGGTAAAATAGGTTGAGCTGATGCAGGAGTTGATGAGGCGGATTATACTGTCAATGCTGAGGTGGGTGTCTAGGTCTGGGTGGAGTTCTTCAAGTCTTCTGCGTATGATGGTGAGGGCTTCATCTCTGGGAACATTCGTGAAGAGGTCTACGACATCGTAGCTGATTAGTTTACCAGGCTGGGTGATTGAGCTGAACTCAGACCCAGTCAATATTTTACAATCTGTACTTGACAGTCATTATGTGACAGTCTTTACGTGAGGGTCATTACTTTACAATCTGTACTTGACAGTCATTATGTGACAGTCTTTACGTGACAGTCATTACTTTACAGTTTTTACATGACAGTCTCTCAAAAATCAGAACATCAGTATCCTTTTACACTCACATCTGTGTATAAAACACACACCACTGTTTGGAATTTTGGCACCTGTTTTCTTTCATGATAGTTTACACAGATTTGATGAAAATGGAACTTGTGCTAATTGCTTTTAGGGGTTTAGATTTATGTATTTGCAAATCCTGGAGACTTTGGTATGTATGTTAGACAATGAAGTTCAGATACTAGTGCTTACTGTGTCTAAATCATTTTCTGATAATATTGGTGGTCGATTTTATTTCTTGGTACAACTTGGTTCTCCTTAATAACTGTCATGTAAAGACTGTCAAGTAAAGACTGTCATGTAAAGACTGTCAAGTAATGACTGTCACGTAAAGACTGTCAAGTAATGACTGTCAAGTACAGACTGTCATGTAAAGACTGTCAAGTAAAGACTGCAAAGTAATGACAATCACGTAAAAATTGTCAAGTAAAGACTGCAAAGTAATGACTGTCAAGTAAAGACTGTCAAGTAATGACTGTCACGTAAAGACTGTCAAGTAATGACTTACAAGTAAAGACTGTCAAGTAATGACTGTCATGTAAAGACTGTCAAGTAATGACTGTCAAGTAATGACTGTCACGTAAAGACTGTCAAGTAATGACTTACAAGTAAAGACTGTCATGTAAAGACTGTCAAGTACAGACTGTCAAGTAATGACTGTCACATAAAGACTGTCAAGTAAGGACTGTCAAGTAATGACAGTCAAGTGAAGACTGTCAAGTACAGACAGCAAAGTAATGACTGTCAAGTAAAGACTGTTAAGGAATGACAGTCAAGTAAAGACTGCAAAGTAATGACAGTCAAGTAAAGACAATCAAGTAAAGACTGCAAAGTAATGACAGTCAAGTAAAGACTGTCAAGTAAAGACTGCAAAGTAATGACAGTCAAGTCAAGACTGTGAAGCAAACACTGTCATGTAAACACTGTCAAGTACAGACTGTCAAGTAAACACTGTCAAGTAATGACAGTCAAGTAAGGACTGCAAAGTAAAGACTGTCAAGTAAAGACTGCAAAGTAATGACTGCAAAGTAATGACTGTCAAGTAAACACTGTCACGTTAAGACTGTCAAGTAAAGACTGTCAAGTAAGGACTGTCACATAAAGACTGTCAAGTAATGACTGTCAAGTAATGACAGTCAAGTGAAGACTGTCAAGTACAGACAGCAAAGTAATGACTGTCAAGTAAAGACTGTTAAGGAATGACAGTCAAGTAAAGACTGCAAAGTAATGACAGTCAAGTAAAGACAATCAAGTAAAGACTGCAAAGTAATGACAGTCAAGTAAAGACTGTCAAGTAAAGACTGCAAAGTAATGACAGTCAAGTACAGACTGTCAAGTAAAGACTGCAAAGTAATGACTGTCACATAAAGACTGTCACGTAATGACTGTCAAGTACAGACTGTCAAGTAAAGACTGTCAAGTAATGACTGTCAAATACAGACTGTCAAGTAAAGACTGCAAAGTAATGACAGTCAAGTAAAGATTGTCAAGTACAGGCTGCAAAGTAATGGCTGTCAATTAAACACTGTCAAGTAAAGACTGTTAAGGAATGACAGTCAAGTAAAGACTGCAAAGTAATGACAGTCAAGTAAAGACTGTCAAGCAAACACTGTCATGTAAACACTGTCAAGTAAACACTGTCAAGTAATGACAGTCAAGTTAAGACTGCAAAGTAATGACAGTCAAGTAAAGACTGTCAAGTAAAGACTGCAAAGTAAACACTGTCAAGTAAACACTGTCAAGTAAACACTGTCAAGTAAAGACTGCAAAGTAAACACTGTCAAGTAAACACTGTCAAGTAAAGACAGTCAAGTAAAGACTGTCAAGTAAAGACTGCAAAGTAATGACAGTCAAATAAAGACTGTCAAGTAAACACTGTCAAGTAATGACTGTCACGTAAAGAGTCACGTAAAGACTGTCAAGTAATGACTGTCACATAAAGACTGTCACGTAATGACTGTCAAGTACAGACTGTCACGTAAAGACTGTCAAGTAACGACTGCAAAGTAATGACAGTCAAGTACAGACTATCAAGTACAGACTGTCACATAAAGACTGTCACATAAAGACTGTCACGTAAAGACTGTCACGTAATGACTGTCACGTAAAGACTGTCAAGTAATGACTGTCACGTAAAGACTGTCACATAATGACTGTCACGTAACAACTGTCACGTAAAGACTGTCACATAAAGACTGTCAAGTACAGACTGTCAAGTAATGACTGTCACGTAAAGACTGTCAAGAAACGACTGCAAAGTAATGACTGTCAAGTACAGACTATCAAGTACAGACTGTCAAGTCAAGACTGTCAAGTAATGACTGTCAAGTACAGACTGTCAAGTAAAGACTGCAAAGTAATGACTGTTAAGGAATGACTGTCACGTAAAGACTGCAAAATAATGACTGTCACTTAATGACTGTCAAGTAATGACTGTTGCTAGCCAGTCTTTGTAACTCAGTTATGGTAGTCATTCTGTAATACAGTAGTAAAACTCACTTGGAGGGAAGTGGCACATTAGCAACCTCTGGTACAATTGCTGCAGTTAGTAACTTGGTTGCATTTGACACTGTCTGGGCAACAACATTTCCACCGATGCCAATCATTGCCATCTGAAACACACAGTGGGTGCAACACCATACTATATGAACTATATGAACACATACTGCACATTATAACTGTAACAATCAAGGTTTGGTCAACATTGCAGATCAAATAGAACATCACTGAAATGATAGATAATGATTCCAATTACAAACAGTGTAACATCTTGAAAGCCAAAAAACATCTGATGTTGCCATTCAAACACTTGTTAATAGAAGAAATTGTGCAGAAATTATATGTTATTCAAACATGTCTGTTTTTCACATGCCTATTTACCAACACCAAGATATATCCTTCAGAAGATTGTAGCTTCATAGCCAGTGAGTGTATGATGAAATGTTCACCATTAGTCAACATCAGTCATCCGACCATGAAATAACATTTAATTCTGAAGAATTACATTTTCATAGTGCTTGTAATTCCATTCCGATAGGCTGAACTGGTGATGTGTTACTGGATTCAATCCCCAATGAATTTAAGAAATGTTGTCATAGCTTTCAAAGCGAACTACTTTTACCACTGTAGATTGTCAGAGAATCCCATTTACACTCGAGGGAATCATTTGTGCACAGAACATTTTAGCGACCTTCGTACATATTCCAGATAACTCAAACAACCCTTCAATACCCATGGCCGTGAAGGAATGAAACAACATTCCTTGTTTTTGATGCTACTCTTTGTTCATTGGCTACTGACTTTGTGGGCGTGTAAAGTTATGTGTCATAAATGAAACAATCATCTGATACATATCAAGCTATAGCATGTCTAAATGATGAATGTATATCAGTCCCATATAATTTCTGTCTGCTTTAATATATATAATTGTCTTTCATCAAACCATTGCAGATATCATGTTTCTTTCATTGTCCAATTAAATCATAAGGACTGACTGTGAACTTCTTTCGGTTCATTGAGGTATGAACAGTAAAATTGATCTGTGCAAATGACTTAATAAACAACTAAAAGTACACAGTCAATCCTAATCCATTTACTGATGATAATACTGATGAACATAGATTCCTCCCACACACTGTCCATCACTCTTGGACAAAATGCACTACAAATACATGTGACAAAAACACAGTTTGTGCACATTCTTTCACATAAATGTAACTTTTTAAGTAAAATTGATATTTTATACTTATCCTGACTCATGATCTTTTGCTTATCTCCCTCTTCTATGCGAATGGTAGTGGAACACTTGAATCCTTTGTAGTTCCCAAAAGCGGACATAAAAGTACACTCACCCACGAGTTAACTCCCTTTTCCCGTGCAAACAGTCATGTGATCAGCCTTACTTGTCACTCTCTCCTGTTTTTCTGCCCATGCATTTGGATCTACTGTGAAATCGAAGTGTATCCAGCGGGGAGGTTGGGAGGGCTTATGAGTCAGGATAAGTAAAAAGTATCAATTTTACTTAAAAAATTACATATTTTTCCTTATCCTGACTCATGATCTTTTGCTTGTAGAATACGACAGATTGGTGGTGGGTCAGGTCACTTCCTGGATTCATCAGCTGTTCTTAGATACGTCCTGTATTTCCCCCCATGGGAACTGCGTAACGGCATTTCCTAGATCCTATTCTTCCAACTTCCGTTATAACTCGGGGGGGCCACCATTTGGTCTTATTTCACTCTCCGACAAGTTGAATCATCTTGATTCATGTGGCTTTTAGATATACTAGTATCTTCTTTTTACTATATATCTATAACAACCCATAGATTATCAAAAGATCTTTATCATAAATGAGTTGCAACCCCTTCACGTACAGGTAAGATCTTTACCCATACAGAGTCTTGATCATTCATGCTAGCCTAGTCTCGACTGTGCGCATGGACTTTCAAACTAATACTTTTCCTTAGTAAAAGTTATCAAAGAGTCAACGTGATAAAGGGTGAGATTTCCAACTCAGCGCCTTTGTGGAACCGTTAGTTGCTGTGCTACAACAAGAGGCCCAAACTGGTGAAAGCCAGAGACGTCTTCGGTGGCTATGTCTCGGAGGCAGTGGTTGGCAAACACTGTGTCCGACTTCCAAAAGCAGCCCTCCATCATTGATGATATGGAGCAATTTCCATGCAGAGCAAGTGTTGACGCCAGTGCTCTGACTTCGTGTGGGTTGGAAGCTCTTGGAGGTTCTAGTCCTGCTTCTTTATAGGCTCTCAATATAACGGTTCTCATACAAAACGATATTGTCGTACTTGAGACTTCCACTGTTGTCTCCGACGACAAGGGGATGAATAGGCGTTTGAATTTCCTTGTCCTTGTTTTAGTGTTGTTGAAGATATATCTTCAAGGCTCTGACAGGACACAAGGATAGGTCTTGCGTATCCTCTGGTCCAAGGATCGTAGATAGCGCTGGTACATGGAACTGACCAGGAAGTTGATTCTTTGCAATAAAGTCCCATCTCAGTCCTAGATGCATGGTGCCCCGTGTCGAATCTAGTTCGTCCAAAGTCCAGCACATGCATCTCAGACATTCGAGCTGCCGTGGCTAGGGTAAGTAGAAACAGAGTCTTCTGTGTGAGGTTCGTAGGCATCACTCATGAGATGACGTAGAATTACATTCAGATCCCAGGCTGGCGCTCTGAATTTCTTTTGCTGGTCCTCCAGTTTAAAAGATCACAGCAGAGCAAGTAATTCTGGTACTTTCGTCAACTTGATGCCTGACTTCATAGTGACCACTGTACTGATGGTTGCCAGATACGTGGATAATGTCGAACCTTTCAGATATCTTGTATGTCTAAGATGACACAGATATTCCACCACTTGAGGATGAGAAGCTTTCATAGCTGTGAAGCCTTTCCGTCTTGCATAGTTCTCGAATTTCAGCCATTTGTTGTCATACAAATTGCGAGTAGATCTGTGTAACGCTAGGGTTACTGCTTTTGCTGCTCTGGCGGAGTATCCTCTTTTCTTCAAACAGGTTTTGATATGGTCCACACGTTTAGCTGGAACAGAGTTGGGTTTCTGTGGACTTGCTTGGTGTGCAGATGTCTGAGTAGGTTCGGCCATTCTGGCAGCTTGAGGGTTGGACTTCCAGATCTTCTATTAGGTCTAGGAACCAGACTCTCGTTGGCCAATAAGGAGCGACCAAAGTTAGTTGTTGCACCTACGTCTGTCTGATCTTCAGCAGTACCTTCGGTAGTAAGATCGGGGGTGGAAACGTGTATGCGTTTAGTCCTTCCCATGACATGCTCAGTGCATCTGTTGCCCAGGCTTGGGGATCTGGTGCTGGTGAGACAAAGTCTGTAGTTGTTTGTTGAACCTCGTGGCGAACAGGTCTATGCATGGGGATCCTATTTCCCTTATGTTCCGAAATGCTTCTGGATGGAGCATCCATTCCGTAGGTGACGGGTGCAGTGATCGGAAAGAGCGTCTGCTAGTACGTTCTTGGCTCCTGCTATGTGACACGCCTTTATCCAGATGTTTGCATCCTCCGTGATGTTGAACAACTGGAATGTGAGCTGAAGTAGGCTTGGTGATCTTGTTGATCCTTGCCGATTTATGGAGAATGCCACTGTAGAGTTGTCCGTGTGGACCATCAGCATTCTGTTGATCAGCGAACTGGACCATAGTTGTATGGCATTGATCACAGCTTTCATTTCTAGCAGACTGATGTGAAGATCTTGTTCTGTTTTGGACCACTTTCCTGATGCAACTTGGTTGTTCAGATGCACACCCCATCCCTGTAACGGTGCATCTACGTAGAGATGTGTGTCGAAGACCAGCTCTTGCAAATACGCTCCTCCGCAGACATTCGACCTGTGAGTCCACCAAAGCAGGTACCTTTTGAGAATGTCTGGTAGCGAGATAGGGTCGACGCTGTCCGGATGTTTCGCCAGGAATCGTTGCAACAGACGTAGTTGTAATCTTCAAGTCCTTCGCTGAGGTTAGTAGACCGAGTAGACATTGCCATGTTCGTAGTGTTAACGGAGAGATGACTGCTTGAGGAATCATGGCTTGTATCTTGACCCAACGATCTTCTGGGACCACAATTCGATTCTGCGTTGTGATGAATCTTATTCACAGAAATTTATACAAACCTGTAGAGGTTATGAATTCTTTGAAGAAAGTCCTCCTTGGGGTACATATAAGCATTAAAATGTCCGTTTTAAATCCTACGACAGTTGTAACTATATTTTGCAATAAAATATTTACAAAACAAAAAAATTGTTTTGTCTTGTGAGACCCCCCACCCCTTCAGGGCCCCACAGGACCCCCTACAGCCAGGAGCAGGTAACTCTCGCCGTCTACCTCGTACCTCACTTTTCAAGCTGAACTTTTCATGAAGAAGTCCTCCTTGGGGTACATATAAGCATATGACAGACTCCCAAAGATATTAGAAACGGGAGTGGCATTCTGTCTGGCAACAACTAAACCCGTGGTGGAGTGAAATCTACAACCGATACGGAAATAGAAAATACACACTTACCGAGCCACCTGACCGCTGATGTCAATCAGGTGGGGGCGTGGCTAGGGCGGGAACTAGAGAGCCCAAGCTTATACGTCAATTGGCTCAAATCAATCATGACATAAAAACCCACCCCCAACCATTACAATGGAAAGGAATGTATGGGGACATGCCGAAACAACTCCCAACCCTAATATAGCTCCAGCCAGAGAAGCGTGGCGAGGGGTATAAGGGTAGGGAAAGTGTAAAAAATTTAAACGCTTAAAAGCCAAGATCCCAGCAGTCAAGCTAATAAGTACTGCAAACTAATGCTCTAATGCACCCCTCCTGTTTGGAAGAGGGCTTGCCGGGACCTCGATAAAACCCAGAGAAATTATTAGCCTTGCTTAAAACTTTCTGAGGAAATCGAATGAGTACAAACGCCATGCATTGTACGAGTGAAAAACAGGATGAAACACCCCCACCAAACATTCTCGGCGTGAGGTGGGTAAGTGTAGACCACCATCCCACAAAGTGCTGATTGACACAGAATCCCAAATACCGAAGTCTCGGGAAGAGGGAAACAACTGTGAACGTACAAAAATCCCCTGAATAGCG